CATAAATGACTTGGATAGAGACAAAGATGATGCATTTACCAGATTTGAGGATGATATAAAACTAGGAAGATAGTTTTATATCGATGACAATCAAGAAACAAAAGAATCTAGACAAGCTACAAAATTGAGTCAATTCTAACATGATGAAATTTAATAGGAATATATGTAAAGTCTTACCCTAGATTCAAGACATTGATCATTTAAATACAGGATGAGAGGAAAAACACTTGGATCATACTTTATTTGAAAAAGATCTATGGGTTTTAGAGAATTCCAAACTCAAAAGGAGTCAACATATGATAAAGCAGGCAAGAAAAATAATATAGTCTTGGGATATGCTAAGAGAGGCAGAGTTTCCCATATTAGTCCATTGTTACTGTCCTGGTCAGACAACACTGAGGTGTGTTTTCAGTTCTGGACCCACAATTTAAGAAGGACATTGATAAGTTGGAAATTATCAAAGAAAATTAAGAGCTTTCAATCTGTGATGTATGGGGACCAATTAAAGAAACCGAGATGTTTAGCTCAGAGAAGGAAGGGCTACATGACAGTAGATTTTAAATACTTGAAAGGCTATCCTGTAGAAGAGGGATTAGATTTGTTCTGTGCATTGCCTAAAAGGACAGAACTAGAAGCAATATGAAGCTACAAAGAAGTAAACTTAGGCTTTATGTAAGGAAACACAAATATCAATTTTTTTTTGTGAGGCAACTGGGGTTAAGTGACTTACCCAGAGTCACATAGCTAGTGAGTGTTATGTGTTTGAGGCTGGATTTGAACTCACGTCCTCCTGACTCCAGGGCCAGTGCTTCATTCGCTGCGTCACCTAGCTTCCCCTATCAAATTGTTTTGACAAGTAGTGGGGTCCCCCTCAAAGTCTTCAATCAAAGGTGGGATGACTACTGTGTTGTATTTAGCATCATCCCCCATCTGTCTGGGTTGCAATGATGTCCCTTTTGACTCTAAAATGCTAGACTTGCATCTACCCATAAAGTATTAATGCATGCCAAGAAAAGTTGTGCAGAGAAGGCAGGCCATTTTGCTGGAATCTTAATTTTTTGCTAAGTAATCCATTTTGCTGGAATATTATATGTGAAGGAAAACAAGATGAAATAAGGCAGAAATGATATTTTGAAAGCAGATAATAAAGGACCTTGAGTGCCAGACTAATGATGCTGCATTTTATTTGGTAGACCACTGTAGTCTCTGAGGATTTCTGGGTGGAGATGTAATATAAATCAGACCTGTGCATTAGGAACATTGTTCTGCAAGTAGTGTGAAGGATGGACTATACTACGGAAGAGACTGAAGGCTGAGAAATCACTTAGGAGGCTATAATAACAGCATAAGTCAGAGATGATAAAGTCTTGAATTAGGGTGGTGGGCAGTAGGAATGGGAAGGAGGGAGTAAATGTGAAAGATTTTTAGAAGGGGAATCTGCAGCAGCTGGCAACCACCAGTTATGGGAGAATAGCTGCACCACTAACAGACATTGCAAACTTAGGAGGAATGGCATGTTTTAGAGAAATGCTTCTCAAAGTGTGGTCTGGGGATTCCTTGGAAGTCTTCATGAAGTCAAAACTATTTGCATAATAATGCTGAGACATTTTAATTTCTAATACAGTAAATTTAAGAAATATAATCCATAGGTGCAGCAAGGTAGTACAGTAGATAGAGCTCCGGCCTTGGAGTCAGGAGGACTTGAGTTCAAATCTGGCCTCAGACACGTGACACTTACTAGCTGTGTGACCTTGGGTAAGTCACTTAACCCCACTGCCTCACTCCCCCCCACAAAATATATATATATGTATAAAAACCCATATAAGCAAAAGCTATTTGGAGTTCCTTAATTTTTTTCAGTGTAAAGGGGTCCTGAGACCAAAATTTTTGAGAATTGCTGTTTTAGAGCAAGACTTCTTAAACTTTTTCCACTTGTGACCCCTTTTTTCACCAAGAAATTTTTTTTTGGGGGGGGGGAGGTGTTAGGCAATGGGGTTAAGTGACTTGCCCAGGGTCACAGAGCTAATAAGTGTTACGTGTCTGAGGCTGGATTTGAACTCAGGTCCTCACGAATCGAGAGCTGGTACTTAATCCACTGCGCCACCTAGCTGCCCCTGCCAGAAAAATTTTTATGCAATCCTGGGCATATAGGTATGTAAAACAGGTATACAAATCAAACATTTATTGATAATAAATTATAAACAAATTTATTTTAAAACAATTCTTTGGTATACAGATAATTTCACCATTTATTAAAGATGAAAGCAAATGTGTATACTAATGAGATGAGATGGATGTGCTTGTTTATTTTTACATAAAGAATTAAATCTTGGCAGAATATTTGATACTGCAGGACACAGACCATCTTAAACGTTTTTCAGAATTGATCAATATTTTGATTTTATAATCATCAATGCTAAGAACACTGCTTTGCATAAATATGGAGTGCAAAATGGCAAAAGTACGTTTAGGACCATTTCAGAAATTGTTGGAAATTCTGTCCTATTCCCAAGCCAAAATTCATTTAATGATTTTATCTGTACAGTAAAAACGCTGCAATTCATAACATATAATAGTCTCCAATCTGAGCTGATGTGTTTCTGGCAGTGTTCGTTGGCATTTCATGGCCAGAACTAAGGCTGCAGTGAAGTTGTGGGAAAGGGCTGCCAGAAACACCTTGGATTCATTATGTGTTTGATTTTAAATTAATTTTTGGTCATTGGGTGTTCAGAAACCTTTTACTGTTGCCAAATTTTTCATGACCCCCACATTCAGTTATGCAACCCCATCTGGGGTCCCGACACACAGATTAAGAAGTGCTGTTTTAGAGGAAAGATGCTAGAGATTGCTCAACTACCTTCTGTAGACAGGCAGAAGTTAGAATGTATATTCTGAATAAACAAAGAAGAATCAAAGTTTAAAGCAACACAGGGTGAGTAGCAATCTATAAAAGCACATCTAAAGTTACCTGAACACAAGTTTTAATCATTGGTCTTTTCCCTTCTAAAGGCTTCTCTGGGAGTTAAATTTCTTTTTAACTTTCATATTTCTTTTTTAAGGCAATTGGGGTTAAGTGACTTGCCTAGGGTCACACAGCTAGTAAATGTCAAGTATTTGGTCTGAGGCCGGATTTGAACGCAGGTCCTCCTGACTTCAGGGTCGGCACTCTATCCACTGTACCACCTAGCTGCCCCTAAATTTCTTTTTAAAGAAACATTCTCAGGACATGGAAGTGTTGCACATTAACACCTGACAAGAACATGTTTAGGTTTACCTGGGTGCTGTGGAAAAAGGATTTACTGCCAAAGGTCTGGGGTCAATAACAATTCCCCACCATATTTCCTATAAATAAATGTACTTTAAAAGATCTATGATTTTTATCAGTGTAGGTACTTCCTCCTCAGCAGCATCTCTATGGTTTTCTGGAGTTGCTGTGGTTAAGAAATTCATCAACCAATGGCTAACCTTCTAGTGAGGAATCTCTCTAAATTTAAAATTATCATCACCTGCCCATCATGCTAGGCCCAGCCAGGGTTTTACACTTTCCCTGCACAGCCAGAAAGAGGCATTAGAATAGAACTTTAGCGAAAGATAGGATACAACTGGTGTGCTAATTATGAATCAGTCCAACATTTAATAATAGTTGTCTGAATGAATAAGTCAATTAAAGAAAGGCCAGACTATTACATCTGAAACCCTTCCCCCCTTTTATGGTTTTCAAATCAAACACTTGTTTACAACATGTAAGACCCTATGACTCGCCTGAGGAATATGCCTACCATTCTTCCTTAAATATAAAACCAAATCAAAATCGTCTTTAGTCCACCCTTTTCACCTGGAAGTAGTGTGAAGGATGAACTGTACCAGGGAAGAGACCTGTCCTAAACTGGAAGAGGTGTTTCAACAAACAGTAGAATGTAAGTTCCTTGTGTGCAAGGGCTGTTTAATTTTTGTGCTTGTATCCCTAGATACAATGCCTGGCAATAAAGATGCTTAATAAATATTTGTTGAATTGAACTGAAATATTTATTAAGCACCCACTCTGCAGAGCACTGAGGGGGTTAAAAAGTTTTGGAAGAGACAATTCCTGTTCTTATGGGGCTTATAGTTCAGTAGGGGGATAAAACACATACACAATACTTCGTAAGTGAATTAGTTGTTGTTCAGTCCTGTCTGACTCTTCAAGACCTCATGCACCATACTATCCATGGGGTTTTCTTGGCAATGACACTGAAGTGGTTTGCCATTTCCTTCTCCAGTTGATTAAGGCAAACAGAGGTTAAGTGACTTGCCCAGGATCACACAGCTAGTAAGTGTATGAGGCTGGACTTGTACTCAGGCCCAGCACTCTAGCCACTGAGCTACCCGATGAAGAGAAAGGCCACTGTGGCATTTGGATTGGCCTTTGAAGGTTGGCCTGCAATTCCACCAAAGCACGAGAGAACAGTCCAAGCCCGTGATGCACCAGCCAGCAAAGAGGCAGACCAACGGTGGGCAGTGCGCCGGCTGAGAGAGAAGTTCAGTTATGTGGTTGGAGAAAACTGTGCCGGACAGGGAGAGAAAAAAGCCTGGAAAGGTGGGAGGACCCGGCCCAGTGCGGAAGGCTTGGTCAGGCAAAGCATTGTTATCGCTTGAGAACTGGTAGGTGAAGCCAAAAGGAAGACAGTGAAGAGGTTTTAGGTAGGACAGTTAAAGTTAGAAGATTGCAATCAAGCGTTGGTAAACAACGTGTGTGTGTTATGTGAGTGTGTTGTGTGTGTACCCACAAACACTGGGGCACAGAGACGTTGAGGCCTACACACAAAGCCCCCTGGACTTTCCCCCTCCGCACCCAGACCGCAGGGGGTCTCTAGGCCCCGAGCTCGAGCCTGGGGCCGCCTCCAGGCGCCTCGGCCGCGCCCCAGGGGTCGCCCGCCCGGGTGCCCCGGCCCGGGTACCGAAGGAGAATGGAGACGGGACAATGGGGCGCTATCAGTGGCCGCGCCTCGGAGTCCTCTTACCTGGGCGCCGTCGGCATCTTCTCCCCACTCAGCAGCACTCCCGAAGTAGTCTTCGTCCATGACTGAGGCGACACCAGCTGGAAAGGCCACCACGGCCCGCCCAACCGCCACAAAGAGCCTGAGGATACACTACTCACTCCCGTTTGCGCCTGCGCCTGCGCCTGCGCCTGCGCCTGCGCGCTGGTCCCTAGCTTGAGGCGTTTCTCAGCGGAGGTACGCCCCCTGGTGGCCGCACTCACTACAGCTGCGTGGAATAGTGGGGCGGGCGCTATCACGGAACGCTCCCGGGAAATGTCTCCAGCAGGCTTCCGTCCTTTTTCCTTTTTAATGCTTTTGTACTATTTAAATAACTCGGGGCCCGCGACCCGAGTCTTACGTGGTCAGTAACTTGAATGTTTCGCTATTTGTTGCTTCCAGGCCTCTTGGGGTCAGAGGCCTGCAGTGGACCGCGGTACTGAGGCCATAGCCTCCTCGGTGTCCCACACGCCCCCTCCCTTCCCTCCGGGCTCGTACATTCACCTCTTTCCCCCACCCCTCCCCTCGGGGAAGGAAGGTGAGTAGGTAAGTGAGTGAGTGAGTGTGTGAGTGAGTGAGTGAGTGAGTGAGTGAGTGAGTGAGTGAGTGAGTG